GTGTATGAAAGTCTCAATGTACACCACATTCTACCAAGATGTGTATGAAAGTTTCGATAAACACCACATTCTACCAAGATGTGTATGAAAGTCTCAATGTACACCACATTCTACCAAGATGTGTATGAAAGTTTCACTGTGTACATTGAGACTTTCATACACATCTTGGTAGAATGTGGTGTCCACATTCTACCAAGATGTGTATGAAAGTCTCAATGTACATCCTACACATCTTGGTAGAATGTCTAAGTGTCCTCTTGTCAGATCCAGCATCCTCTCCCTTTTCCTGGCTGCCCATTTCCATCATCGATTGAAGGAAATCATTCATACTAGCTTGTGGACCACACCTAATACATTCATCTCCCATTACCTTCATCATGTGGCTTTCTCCTCCTCATCTGGATGCCAAATATTGTCTGTTGCCATTCTCCACACCTGGGTCGACTCTGAGTGAGCATGTTTATATTTCTTTATTATTCTTTCAGGATCATTAATATACATGTTTTTTAGATCCCTCTCTGTGGCAAGTGGTGCCTGTCCAGGTATACTAACCCATAAATCCACACTGTATGGTTGTTCAGGTCTATAACATCCACTGTTGAGACAGTGTTCCACAAGAATGCTAGTGGGTTCATCCTCGCAGTGTTTTGTGTCATAACTGTGTTCATCCAAGACCGTACCAACTTTTGGACTATCATGAGTAAAGCAGTGTTAGGACAACTGCCCATCCCTCAAATCCTGGTTGAATAAATTGAGACTAGCCTGCTTTTCAAAATAGGATTTAGTGGTCACCCATTGCACTTTCTCCAGTGTTGCATTCCTCCAGACTCTCCACCAGATTGTCCCCCCCCTCTTCAAGTGGAGTAAGGGAGTCCTTGCCACTTAATATTTCCTAGCCAATTGAGAGTAGGGTGGTAGTTTTCTGTCAATATAGATGGTGTATCCTACTCCTACCATGGATCAGATGTACCATACCCAATGCTGCTTGGTTGTGGACTGGAAATGATTCACCAAAATGCAGTTCACCCCTCATCATACTGCCACCTGGATGTCAGTTCCTGGGTGGTCTAGTTTGTATTAGAGTTGGACCAGCCAGTATAAGTCCTCACACATGTGGCTGGTAGGGAGCCCTCATTCTACTGCAGACTGGATGATAAATTCCCAATGCTGCCTGGTTTTGGAATTGAGTGAACTACCACATTGCATTCCTCCTTCCTGCCGTTGCTCAGTTGTTGATGTCTGGGTTCACTTTGTGTTGGATGTGTACTGGATCTGCAAACATGTGCCCTGCTTGGATGGTTGAAATGGAAATTGTTTTCCCTTCTACCTCCTAAGTGTGAGGTGAAAACAGTTGGGACCTTCGTCTTACTACAGACTGGAAGACAAATACCTGATGGACTGGAGTTGGCACACCAATTATGGTCTAACCTCCCTAGCCACTCTACATCAGTTGGCACATGAACTTGCTTATGAATATGCTCCTTTTCCACCCAATTTAGTGACACATATTTTCACAATGGGCAAAGAATATACGTAGTTCATGTGTGATGTGGTCTCTCATGGATGTGTTCCTTTACATAAAGATGTATATCCGATAAATACCTCCTCTCACACTTCCCGCCCTACCTCCCTACTTCTGGTGCTTCTTTTTTGCATAATCTCAAAGTGAAGATTGTGTTCTACATTCTAGAGGGAGCCAGCTGCACCAGGAGGGTGTGTCATATTCCTATTGGTGGAGGGTTGTCGCATGCTACAATGCAAATGTGTTAAACATGTGGTAGGTGGGAGTATCAAGGCTAGCGGCAAGCAAAATATTTTGCACATATGAAGGGCAACATTGGATGAGAAAATAGTGGAGGTGAGTATATATTGGAAATACATTTTCAATTTAGAAAAATTATAACAGTGAGGCAAATGCATTTTATTGTAGTCCGCATGCTTGACAAGTCAGTTCTGCTGTGACGGCACTCAGTTGAGGGTCTCCTCTTGTAGAAATTTTGCTTGGTTATAAATTTTTTAAATTTATATATATATCTTTTCTGGTTGGCTTTTATAAAATGGAAAAAAATAGTGCTTCTTCAAAATCTGTGCTAAGAAAGAAGATTTCAAAGCCCCACAGAAACTTTGATGGTGAAGAATTATTGGATTTATTAGACAATTTGGATAGTTCATCTTTTTCAGAAAGTGAGAATAAGTATTTTCCAACTGAAGGAATGACATTGATAATAAGGTGTGAAATTTCTTCAGTGTATTGAATGAATCATTAGTTAAAAATGAAGACATTAAACCTAATATTATTGCTAGATTAGTGATGGTAGCAGGCCTGCTGATGCTGGTATGCATGTGGAGTGATGATTCATCAACCAGTTACAATTTACTTGAACTCCAAGGTTAAAAATTCACACATTACACAATGGAAGGATATTACTGTTGACAAGCTAAATGTTTCTTTGTGGTTGTTGCTTCACATGTGACATATTCAAATGTGATATTTCCATGACTATAAGTTAACTCTTCTTGTATATTCAAAACATACCCAAAAACCATGACTCACATGTGCATCATGTGGCACTCATTTAAAGATTTTACCAACATTGCCAATGATGCCCATGTGTGTTATGGTACAGATTTTAGTTGAATAAGCATATATGCCCATAGGTACTTTAGCTGATATTATTTTGTATTTTTAAAATAGTCCTAACAAAAAAAAAAACAGTGGCACCTGGCATGGGTATTTATTTTTGAGGCAGCAGTAAATTTCTTAAATTACTTTTTTTTCTAGGTATAAAATTTTGTAACATCCCAAAAGTACACAAAGCGATTTGAGTTTTAACCTGTTCAAAAATTGTGCACCCACTTTTCCAAATTTCACACTTAGACAATTGTTGTAAGAGCTTCTAAACCTACAAAATATTACTGATGAAAATAAGAGTTACTGAAGTATAATTTTTTTAATGACACAACATGATTTTTACATGGAGCAGTTACCTAAAAGCTAATAAAAAAAAATATTGAAAGTATGATATGATTTTCATTATTTATCTTACAATTACATAACAGTACGGACTTTTTACCTTTATTATAATACAGTTTTATTGTAAGCTATGAGTATCCAATGAGGCACATAAGAAAATTGTTGTTTGTAAGCTTAATAGTTCAGCAATATATTGTATATCAAGTGTGTCAAGTAAAGATAAAGTGCACATATCTTGAATTTTCCATAAACCATTGAAAGGATGAATATTGTAATTTTGCATTAATTTTCTATTATGTCATATTGTTGATTTTGTTTATGAGGCACATTAAAATAATATGAATTTATTAGTCCATAACTGTGCTCAGAATGTTTCTTTTATTCAGCATCTTATTACACTGCTCTATAAAGATAACCTTATAGAGGAACAGTGTTAGTACAAGTGATAAAAAAACTTGTTTAAAAACAGTTTAGTTACATTAATATATGACCTGAAAACATGTTATAACAACAACAACAATGCATATGTTACAATGTAAAGCAGAATCTTGCACAATTCATGAATATTTGATATACGAACCAACAAAGTGTAAGTACAATGCCCATACTTAATGAATGTATTGTGAAATGTTACCAACTAATCTTTTATGTAACATGATTAAGATTAGTGGAAATTTTGTTTTGAATGTATAATTACAAGTAAGAGATACTTTTCTGCTGCATATTTTAAGCATGGAGCTCTCTGTACTTTAAAAAACAATACATTATGGAATCACTTCTTTGTGGATACTGTTTAGTATGCTATACTGCTTCATGAGCTAATGTGAAAATTGGTGCATTGCATGGAAATAATAAGGTTGAAAGAATACTTTGTGAAGTAATGGAAATACTGTTATGATTCACCAATCTAATTTAGAAAATTCACAA